TCTGTTTTGGTGGCCCAGCACAGTTTGGGGAGTGCAGAACCTGAGGCCTGGTCTTGGGTTTGCAGCCAACCGTCACCTCCCCAGCACACTGACCCCGTGCCTCAGTTTCCCCTGTGAGATAAGCAGGAGGGATAGTGGAAGGGTGGAGGGGGACATGGGACACATGGGCTTGGCATCTGCCTGCAGCGGGGACTTGGAGAAGGAAATCAAACTCGAAACGTGGAAATCAACACTGTCACCTCCTGTATTGTTTGTTCCAGAAAGCTGCAGCTCCTGGCCACCGAGCTGGTGCCCTGGGCGATTCGCAGCGGGCGCAACGCCAGCTGTGTCCTGAACGTCTACTACGAGCAGCGCTGGGAGCAGCCCGTGGAGTCCCTGCGAGAGGAGATCGGCATCTTCTCTCCGCCAGCCATCCGAGCGTGAGAGTTCGGGGAGGGGACAGGGGATCCCCACTGGCAGCCAGCAGCCAGCCCCTGCTGCGCTCCGTCTCCTCCTGCCCGGCAGCGCAGCGTGGCTCCGCCACCAGCCGCCTCCGACCTGGGGGCTGAGTATTCTCCTGCCGAGAACTGGCACCCTCCTGTTGGCAGAGGCCAAGTGGCACCTTCCTGTGCCGCGACAAAACGTGACCCTTCTTGCTGTTTGTGAGTTGGTGGAGGGATGGCAAATCCTGCCCTGCCTTTGCCAGCTGGGCCTGGCTGCTGGCTCCAGGAGCGATGCTCCAAAATGCCGGGATGGGGAGGGAGCAGAGCTGGCTTACAACACACCGGAGCAAACTTGGCCTTCTGCAACTCTAGGGTAAATCCCTATAAGTAAATCCCTTCTCCCACCCTCCTCGAGAAGGTGGAGGCTTATCTTGGGGCTGCCCTGGGCTGGAGCTAAACCAGTGATTTACAGAGCAGCCCAGGGGCGGGTTTGGTGTGTGCAAGAGTGAAATCCTGTTTGTACTGGTGCCTAACTGGTCTCCTGGTGGGTCATATGAGATGTGCCTCACGCCTTGCACACCAGGCAGCGTGTGACTGCCTGCCCACCGGATCAGGCAGGGGAATACCTCAGGATATTATCCATGCTGGACTAGCTGCTGGCTCCAGGAGTGATGCTCCAAAATGCTGGGATGGGGAGGGAGCAGAGCTGGTTTACAGCACACCGGAGCAAACTTGGCCTTCTGCAGCTCTAGGGTAAATCCCTATAAGTAAATCCCTTCTCCCACCCTCCTCGGGAAGGTCGAGGCTTAAAGTCTTGGGGCTGCCCTGGGCTGGAGCTAAGCTGGTTCCAGGCTGTCTCCCTGTAGTCCCTCCCTGTCAGAAACACTGAAATCCGCATGGTTGGGCTGGGTTTTCAGTGGGAATCATCCCTTCCTCGGGCAATGAAATGACACGATTGGGAATAAGAGGCTGAATCCTGGGAGCACAAAGAGGATGGTTACTTGCACTGCGTCTGGGAGCTGATTGCTCTCTGGGTTAATTAAACTGGGCTCCCGGCTGCTCCAGGAGAGCGGAGCTGTCGGATGTGAGGGCAGAGAGCCACGAGGCCAGGGGGCTCTTTGTACGTGTGGGTTTGCTGTTGAAATTCCTTCTTGCTTAATAAAATCCGCCGTGGAGCTCGAGGTTTGTTAGCCCTGCCCCGTCTCCCCATCTGAGGGGGATGTGACGTCAAACCTGCCCCCTTTTCGGCTCCGGCGGGGTCTGCCGTTCTCTGTGGCGGTAGGCGATGGCAGGGCACGCGTGTGGCCGCACGTCCCTGGGGAATGGGGCACAAAGGCTGCGGAGCCGCGTCTTTCCATATGGGATTTGGGGGTGCTGGGCTGTTGAGTGGCTCGTTGCAGAAAGGCCTGGACAGGGGAAGAATGGGATGGGAGGGGGAAGGCTGGGTGCTTCCTAATGGGATCCTGGTTCCCAAGGGAGGGAGGGCGTGCTCTGATGTGGGTCCTTGGGTGGTCTGGGAGACGTGGCATCGCCCCGCTGTGAGCTCACTGGCCCCATCCCAGTCTCCCCAGGATGCTGGAATGGACGGGCAGGAGCAGGGCCCGATGGTGCAACCGGGGGTTGGAATTGATCCGGCCCAGGAGGTTGAGCAGGGACAAAACTCTTCATTGTGGGGCTGCGTTCAGGAGCAGACGGTGGGGCAGAGGGTCTGGCTTCCTCCCAGCTTCCCCTGACGCCCTGCCTTCAGCTTCTCCCTCCAACCTGCTCCCCACCAGCCAGACCTTGGGTTTCTCTCCCAAACTGGGCTCCTGCCTCCCCTTGGCCTCCGTCCGGAGTTATTCCAAGTGGATATTGAAGGATAGCATGTAAAAGCATCCTTCGGCTGCTGTAAAACACGGAGTGGGGGTTGTCCCAGTGCACTGGTAAGACGAAAGAAGCATTTGGCCCTAAAATGGCCCGTAAATGTCCTTTTCTGCATCGGAAACGGGTGGGAGCTTTGGTGTGGTTAAACCGAAGGGAA